CTTGGTATCATATATAATGTTTGAATATAACAAGTACATATATGAAGACATTTGCATTACACAAAATATGTCCACTAACATAATAAAATTACAAAAAAAATTAATCATTCATCATCTGAACTATAATAACTTTCGTTATCGTTGCTATCATCACTTTTGGTCTCCCAATCCTCTTCCTCCTCCTCCTCCGCCTCCTATATAACTACATCATCGTCGTTGCTCGGGCCAACTGCAACATCATATCGCGGAAGATCACCCAGGTCAATTGTAATTGACTGAATCGGTATTTCGATTGAAGACACTCCTTGTATTTGAAATGGCTCTTGTATAACATTAGTATCTCGAAGTGTTTCCGCATCATTTTCCATTGAAGATTCTAAACGTTGGTCAGCTACATTGTTGACGTTGTTGTCAGTTGGGTCTAGTTCTGGTATAGCATACACGTTCCTGTGATCCATCTTTTGAACAACGTTCCAACCGCTTCCGGCTTTAGGGTCATCTAGATACACAATTTGTGTTGCCATGTTTGCCAAAATATAAGGGTCGTCATCATACCAAGTTCTGTTCATGTTCACAGATAGTAAGCCATGATCGATTTTAACACTTCCCGGCCTATTTGGGTTGGTGTCAAACCATCGACACTTAAACATGATCACTTGGTATCGATCTTTGTAAAGCAATTGCACGACAGTTGTGAGTTTGCCATAGAAATCAATGTCTGTACTTTCGCCTCCACCTGGGACATGGACACCGCTGTTTTGCGTACACAACTTGTCATCTCGTGCTTCGGCCAAAAATTTGACACCGTTGACATTACAACCCGAGAACAATTCAGCGCGAATCGGGCCAAACGCCAAGTTATATAACTCATCACTGTAAGTTGGGGAATTCGATGATTTCAACTTATTCACCTAATATTATACAAAACCATTCATATGTTAATATCCATGCATTTATAAAAAAAATTTATATTTCTCAAATAACAAACACTGATAACTTACAGAATCCAAAAACCATTGTGGAAACAATTCACGGTGTTTCTGGGCAACCAAATGTGATGGATGTTCTCGCTTCATCATCTCTTCATGCTCATATAAGTATCCCATGATCTCATCACAATTGTTCAGTACGAACCAATGCGCTACCTCCATGTCATTTCTAGAAAACGACTCTCCGCGTCCAGGATCTCCGAAGGGTCGTGCGCTTTGGGCAAAAACAGAAAGTTTTTCATTTCTCATACCTCCATCATGATTGCGCTGAGGACGATTGAAAACCGTCTCCACATCTTTTAAATACATTCCGCAAAAAGTAAGCGACTCATATTGAACCCAAGCCTCTACGATTGATCCTTCGGGCTTCGCCCTGTTGCGTACACTTTTTTTCAGCTCTCCGAGAAGCCTGCCAAAATAAAACGATATGATTGAAATTAGCAAGCATGTGATAATGATGCATACACAAATGATAAGGATTATATATCTTTCTATTGGATACATCCAGCGATAGTTGACAGGACCAGCAAATAATGCCTCTTCTGGCAAGTGAACCATCACGTGCATCATACTTGTGAAGAAAGCTGGAGGAAATATCATCTCAAACTTGCATAGGACTTGGACAATGTCATGGCGCAACTGAAACATGTCCGTTTTTCGCAAAGTTTTCGCCGTCAGTTGGGAAAAAAATCTGGACAACAAAATGATTGGCTTCACTACATCTTCCGGCAATAGGTGTCAAATACCAACAGGAAGTAGGCGTTGCATAAACACATGGCAGTCATGGCTTTTAAGTCCAGTAAATTTACCCCCGTCAACATTCACACAACGTGCGATATTAGAAGCATACCCATCGGGAAACTTTACTGACGATACAAACTTTAGAAACTCTTTCTTGTCATTCGGTTTCATAGAAAAGAATGCAAGATCCCTTCTAGCTTTATCATTGTCCCTATTCATCCATAAACCCCTTCGTATGCCCATTCTTTCCAAATCAAGACGAGCTTTGATCGTGTCCTTTGTCTTCCCCTCGATATCTAGAATCGTGCCCACCAATGTGTCGAATACATTTTTCTCAACATGCATCACATCTAGATTGTGCCTCAATTTTAGTTTTGACCAATATGGGAGCTCAAAAAACATAGGTTTGTGCGTCCAGTTCATATGTGTAGAAGGTCTGATACGACTAACTGTTTTCCCGAAGGGAGCAAAATCCAACCGGTTAAGCTGGTCCAATATCTCATCACCGGACCATTCTCTGGGTCTAAGGCGACGCTCAGTGTTCCCGTCGAACTCTTTATCTTTTTCCCTCCACTCATGGTCCCATGGCAACCATCTCCGATGACCAAGGTAACAAACTTTTCCAGCATGCCAACCAGAAGTTACATCTTCCTTGCATACAGGACATGCCATATAACCTTTTGTGCTCCACCCAGAAACCATTGCATATGCTGGGAAATCATTCACAGTCCACATAACTGCTGCCCGCAAAGTGAACATCTTCCCAGTTGATTTATCGTACGTGCGAACACCGTTTGTCCACAAATCCTTCAGCTCATCAACCAGCGGCCTTAAGTAAACATCGATTGACCTCCCAGGATCCTCAGTTATCAAAACAGTCATCATCATGTATTCCTTTTTCATGCATTTCCAAGGCGGCAAATTATATGGGAATACGAAAATCGGCCAAGTGCTGTGGTGTTGGTTTAGAACCCCATACGGATTGAATCCGTCAGTGGCAAGTCCCAATCTAACATTTCGGGGATCAGCAGCAAACTCTGGGAACGTTCGATCGAACTCTTTCCATGCCTCCCCATCTGCAGGATGCCGCATCACATCATCGTCTACCCGTTTTTCCTGATGCCATCTCATGTCTGTGGCAGTATGCGTCGACATATACAATCGCTGCAACCTAGGTTTCAGGGGCAAATAACGCATGACTTTTTGTGGGATCTTAGTCGTCCTATTCTGAGATGTCATCTTGAACCTCGACTCATTGCATATAGGACATGTATCCAACGATTCATGCTCTTTGTAGAATAACATGCAATTGTTTTTGCAAGCATGGATTTTTTCATAACCCAATCCAAGACCATTCAACACCTTCTGCGCCTGTTTATGGTCTTTCGGCAAACAATTGTCCGTCGGAAGCATTCTCTTGAAAACCCCCAAAAAGTAATCGAAACACAGGTTCGACATACGATACTTTATTTTTCCGTGCATTAGCTCCACAATGGCCGTGAGAACGGAAAAGCTCTCGCACCCCGGGTATAACTCTTGGTTGGCATTTTTTAACAATTTCTCATATTGTTCAAACTCCGCACTGTCTATTGGTGTAGGCACATCATCTTGCTCTTCTTGATTCATGTTGGTCGATGCAAATGGAAAAACATCCTGTATAATATCCATGACTTCATCATTAGCATCCACAATAGGTTGAACATTGTCCACTCTTGTGGCATTTGAAGACGAAGCATGCTCTAATTGTTCCCCGTGAAGGTTCCAAATGCTATATGTCTCAATCATTCCATTCCTTACTAAATGAAATCCAACATTTTCAATTGTCTCCCATAACGTGTTGTTGCACCTCCTACAAGGACAACGGATTCTAGTTGCACCCGGGTTGTGTCTACGTGCAAACTCAATAAAATCCTCGATTCCATCCAAGTATTCGTCTGCGCATTTGTTCGGGTTTTGTATCCACCTTCTGTCCATAATTCCTGAAACCAGAATCACAACACAACAATCACAACAACTTCATACGAAGTTATAATGTCACCTTATGCCTCCGGTAAGGGTCCTATCCCATTCGGGAATGCATACTCCTGCCACGTAACCTACGACTACATGAGATTGGATTTCGACGTGGATGAATTTCGCCAGCATCTCGCTACAGTTCTTGAGGTGGCCATAGGTATAAATACCTATGTACCACCCGAAGAACGTACCGAGATGACAACGAAATATCCACAATCGAAACCTAATCCTGTAGCCATAGATTACGTGACAACACTATGCATTACCAAACTGTCCAAATAATGGGACAATTCAAGAATTAATTGGACCGCAGTCATGCATTACGCATCCATGCACGAAATCCAACTAATCTCGAACGGGAAACTAAGTGTTACTAAACATAAAAATAAAAGCACGAAGTTAATTTCAATTAACTTCGTACATCACAACAGATTGTACTACGTTACGCACAACATAATATAAATATAACTTCACAAGAACATTTTAAACATATATAAAACAAATAAAATACCTTCTCAATCGTTCTCCACCAATCGCTATTTACAAATATCCCTAACGAAAACAAATTAAAAAACCTTAGTACGAACTTAAATTAATACTTTTAAACTAATGACGAAAAATACTTACCCAATCAATGTATTGAAATCTCAGCAGCGGCAGAGAGGTTGTGAGAGAGGCAGAGGCAGAATGCTTTGTTTTTGCATTCTGCCTCTGCAATGGCAGAATTCTAATATGAAGAAGAAGGACTTTGCGCGACGAACATACTTATTCGTCGCGCAAACTCCCGTCGCAAAAAACCAAATCATTCGTCGCGCAAACACCTGCCGACATCTAACTTTTGCGCGACATCTAACTTTTCCGTCGCGCCAACTTTCGTCGCGTAAAAATAAAATTCCGTCGCGCAAAACAAGATATTCGTCGCGTAAAGTTCAACTTTACGTGACGAAAAGTAGTTACGTCGCGCAAAAAAAAATCCCACCTAGGTCATTTTTGGCGCCAAAAAATAAAATATCTCTTGTTCTTTTACGCGACGAAACGTCTTTCCGTCGCGCTAAATCAGGGGACTGTCCTTTTTGCGCGACAGAGAATTTATTCGTCGCGCAATGTTGCCTTTAGCGACGATATTTCTCGTCGCGCAAATATTTCGCGCTAAAAAAATTCCTCCCGCTTTTTTTAACTCTGTTTGCGCGACGAAAAATTGTTTTGTCGCGCATATACATTTTGCGCGACGAAAAATTTTGGTGGCGCAAATTTTCAGTGGATTGCGCGACGAATAGTTGTTTTCGTCGCGCAAGTATGGTTTGCGCGACGAGTTAGTCTTCGTCGCGCAAATAGTGAAACGTAGTAGTGATCATCATTTTGTTGGGGGAATTGTTTCCTACGAGAATAATGACGATTTTTCCGAAGATGACTAGGCTTATTTTTCCTGGAAGGAGGAATTCTAGCAAGACCATACTGTTCGCAGAAATTGCCTAACTCATATTTGGCTGATTTCCTATCGGACTGTATTTGTTTACCAATTTTGAAATCAATACACATTTTCATTCCAACTTGATTAATTGTACTTACAATATTTCCATAAGTTAAACTATCCCAATTTATATGACCTTGCTCATTGATTAGGGTTGTGCGTATTTTATGGGCAAATAGATTTGGAAGACCATTAACAAATTTTTCTTTCCAGAATGGCTGGTTACTATCATCTCTAAGCATGACTCTGGATATGAAGACATCTTTATACCATCTGAAATCAGATAACTTAGGGCATCTAAGATTGCTCAACTGATCATGTATCCTAGCAGTGGTATGACTAGGGGTTCCAATGAAATGCTCAATTATTGTGTAAAGCAAAGTGTTGACTCCGTCTTCTATACCTTGACCTATTTGTTCGTCAAATATAGGGAGACCGTCTTCATTAAGTTTTACAGCATGAATGATCAGGCTCTTAGACTCAAGGGTTAAATGCTTATCCCACCAATACCTGAGAGTACCGGTAAATCCAGTAACTAACAAGGGTACAATTTCAGATTGCCTGAAACTGTGATTGGTGATATAACTATTAGCAACCATGGACATGTGTTGTAGCTTATTAAAAATTTCTTGCTCAGAAAGACCATCAATGTTCCATTCATACATTTTATCAGAAGAAACCGAGAACTGGGTTTGGAGGTTTCTTTCTTCAAATTGAATGTCTGGAGGTGTTGGTCTGGGATACCAATTTCTGGTTAAACTGGTAGGGCTTATATATTTTTCTAATTTTTTGACTCTGGGTTCAACTTGGACACGAGCATCTGGCGTATGACTCTGTATTAAAACAGTTTGGTCTTTTGGACTTTTATTAAGGGCTTGGAAGTTCATATTGGTGCCTGTAACCTTATAATAAATTCTATAGACTAAGGCTAAAGGTTGGGTTTATTTGAGGGACGCCCTTTAGGGTACCCTACAATTTTTTTTCCAATGATCCAAACCATCTATTTTTTAGATTTTCATTCATAGATCATCCTTACAAAAAATTAGACAAATCGGAAACCGTTTCAATATCCAATTGTCCTACAAAATCAATGAACACGGTGCTTCAAGAAAGTACTAAAATTTCAATAACTCAATTGAATGGTTAAATGATATCGGATTCAAGTTATTTTTTGTAGAGATGATCTTTGAATGTGTATCTACAAAATAGACGGTTTGGATTAGTGAAATACAATCCAGAGTGGGCCCTACAAGGGGTATCCCTCAAATAAGCTTATTTGAGGGATCCCTCAATGGAAGCTTATTTGAGGGATCCCTCAATGGAAGCTCTCTGTATATATATATAAAACAAAAGATAGAGAATGATAAAACATTTAAAATACCAGAAAATGTCATTGGTTAATACAAATATTAAGAATTGAAATTATTAATTAAATGAGGATAATATGATAAATTCACACTCCAAGCCCACTTGTACAATTTTTATTTTTTGGGTTATTTAGAATTTCCACTTTGGCTACAATTATTTCATCGTCAAACCTAAGTATAAAAATATCAAAATTCAATCCAACAACCAAATTTTTAATTTTAAAAAATACATCTTGAGATGACAATTTAACTTTCCTCCTATACATTTTTTGTTGTCCCCGAACCCATTTACTTGGCAATCAAGCCAGCTATATATCGACAATCTATTATATGAGGAGGAGCTCAACATATGAGTTAATTCAAGTGCATATGGAGAGGGAAAAAAAGTTTAGTCAGGATCAGCCACCAGCTGAAACAATAACACTGATGTTACGCCCAAAAGAAAATGATATTCCAAAGCTCCAACGAAAGATAATTGAGGAAGAGTAATCTCTTCTTCCATGTTTAATTTTATTATGTATATAGTATATGGTGTGCGAAAATAAGAACTCGTACTGTAATCACCCAGGATTGTAAGCTTGTTCTTATGTATATGTTATTTGTGATCATGTAGGGTGACGTTTATATATATAATTCGTTACTTTGAATTTGTTAGAGTACGATGTATATTAGGATGATCCCATGTCTAACAAGATTCAATATATGATTTTGGAAGATGATAGATATATGATGTTGTTTATGGAGGAAAGAAGGATGAATGATTTTAATAGTTTACAAGCACCGGAGGATATTTGGCACCATGATGGCTAACAAATATTCCAATAGCTTAGGTTCAATTATATGAGACAATTTGTGATGTGGTTTCTGAAACAAAGAAGAATGAATGAGAAAGGAGATAGAGGAAGAACATGGCAATTGCGAGGAGTTACATCACTCAGACCTAATACCCTTCCACAATGGCTTCAAGACAGAATCAAAGCTTCTGATTTTCATCACTCAGACCATTCTCACCACAAGAAAAATACTCTACCACAACACGTTATTAACAACGTGCATAAATTATACGTTGTGGAATTAGACTTTCCACAACGTGCGGAGTATGTGTGTTGTGTTATATCTCTTTCAACAACGCGCATTTAGTGCACGTTGTTGAAATGGAATTTCGAGGATGTTTTAATAACGCATCCTGGCGTGTTGTTATATTTGGAGTTCAACAACGCACAACGCATGTTGTCAAAACTATATCTCTTTAATGAAGTAAAATGTTCATGAAAAAAAAAGAACTATCCGAATTTCCCTCACTCTCCCTCCTTCTTTAGCTAAAAATTTCAGTCTCCCTCTCAAACTCTTTTTAAATTTCGGGTGCAGCTCTTTTTTTTTTTTTTTGAGATTTTTTATTTAAACCCCGCACTTCTCTTTGTTCACTCCAATACTTAAATCATTAAGCTGTAAGTTTTATTACAATGTAAAAAGACAAAAAAGGTCATCTAACTTAATACTTAACCCTAATATATCTATACACATACCCCACCACTCTTCATATTAAGTTTTAGAAAAATATAAATTCCTCACCACTCTTAATATCCTTGAGATCCGATGCATACTACAAATATTGTTTAATGATTTAAATATTGAGGAGAACAAATAAAATTGTGGGGTTTAAATAGAAAATCTTTTTTATTTCTTATTTTTTCAACTTGGGGTGTATTTAAAGGTAGTTTGGGAAGATAATGAGGTTTTCTTAGAAATTGTTAAAATTTAAATTAAAAGTTAGGGTGAACTTGGAACATGGGGTGAACTAAGAGAAGTGTGAGGTTTAAATAGAAAATCTCTTTAGAATTTCCTCTTTGGCTACAATTATTTCATCGTCAAACCTTAAGTATAAATATATCAAAATTCAATCTACAGAGCAATGCTACAATCCAAACAGTACCAGAGGCACTCCTGCACCTGCTACTTCGAAAGGTTATTCTACTCCTCCTCCTCTTCCTAAAGTGGTTAATGGATATCCAGTTAATAATAATTACACTCCTAATCCTGCTCCTAATGCTGCTCCTGCGTACTACTACTATTTTCCCGCACAACCAGCCCCAACTAATCCTTCAGAATTAAGCCATGATAATGTGACGTCGTTTGTTCCTCATGGACATGACATTAGTGAGGGCTTAAAGCCACCCAATGCATATGACAATACTTCCTCAATTGCTGGACCTGACCAACCGGAAAATTCAAAAGGAAGAATTTGTACTTGTGCTAATCCCCAGCTGCCCAACAATAATGGAAAAGTTGACAAGCACAAGAATATTGGAGAAAAGAATGGCAAGAAAAAGAATGGGAACAAAAAGAATTCCAGATCAAGCGGCGATTCATTCAAGGTTCGTGGGAATACTATTAATGGAGGCCTATTAAAGCACCAATTCCCTCTCCTCACTCCTACTTTCTGTCTCGTGGGGCTCAGCAAATGGAAATTTCCATATTTTTTCTACATTTCCGGCGCCTTTTGTACATACACACCTCCTTTTACATGGAAAAACAATAATTGAGTGCCCTTGATTTGAAATAATAGCTCCTGTGTCTTCATTATTACCACTCTCACTGATTGTCTCCTTCGCATGCACTTTCAGTTTCTTCATTGCAGCAACCAGTTTTTGTATTATTCTCATGTTCCTGAATATAAATAAAATTCAACATATTAAATGTAATATTATTAAATTACCCAATTACAAATTTTGTTCCAAAATAAAATGGCTCTTCACGTCGGGGGGTGAATTCTTTGATTATGTAATAGCTGACATGTGATACTTGCAAGTGCACATGTGATAGCTAAGAACAGGGTTTCAGACATGAAATATAATAATATATGTGTTGGTTACTGCAATATAATAATATATGTGTAACGTGTTGGTCACATAAGGACAAAAAAAGAGTTTGACCAGAGCACAGATTAGAGAGAGAAGCGTGAACATACTGATGGCCACACCAGAACACAAATCAAAGAGAGAAGTGTGAGAAACATAACCAAAATTCGCGAATAATGCCACCACCACCACCACACTAGATGAATTAAAGAACCGGAGCTTCTTTATTTATACATGGGTGAAGAAGAAGAAGAAGAATTGATGAAGAAGTAGAAGAAGAATTGATGGGTGGCAGTCGGCACTTTGCTTCTTTATTTATATAAAGAAGAAGATCTGCAGGAAAAGATCTTCAACGTTTCAAAAGAGGTAAGGAAAACATCCCGTGTTGTTCAAGACTTCAAATTTGTGTCGAATTCTAATTTTTCCCGAAAATTATACCTAAAACGTATCTTAAAATTGGGATACCGTATCTGTCTTGTCAGATACCCGTATCCTTTCGTCATTGACCGCATCCGTTGACTTGGATACATATCCCGCGCGTATCTATACAAAATGATTCTACTCCGGTGTTCCATAAGCGGCGAATCCAGAAATTTTTCAGTAGAGGTGCAATTTTCAAAAGCTAAGAGCTCCCCAAAAAAAAAAAAAAAAAAAAAAAAAAAAAAAAAATCATCTATAAACATCCTTATAATAATACTAAAAAAAAAAAAATAATCAATATAATACATTAAAAAAAATAATCATTATCAATTACCCTACAATTGTTGCCGACGAGATTTCATATCTTGAAAACGTCGCATTATATTTATATTGCTAATACAAGAAAAAACATCTTTCTCAATGTAAACAACCAAGCTATCACTCAACTATTGATTCCCTATTTTGTTACGCAATGGTGTTTTCACAATATTCATAGCTGAAAAAGCCGGATTATTTGAAGGAATGTTGGAATTAGCCGGATTATTTGAAGTTCGAAGGAGGATTTGAACTACCCAGATTATTTGAAGGAAGATTTAAACTCTTTCTCTGAAAGTACCGTTCCATAACTGTACAATTGAAACAAAATAAGGGTTTTATATCTATTATTATGACTAATTTACTATAATTTATCAAATAAATAAATAAATAATTATCAAATTATCAATTAAATAAATAAATAAAAATTAATTATACCTCGAATAACGTGTCACGTAGCCTCTTTCTTCTCGAGTTTGCTACTGATCTTACTAATATAGAGAGAGCTAAATAAGAAAAAAAAAATTATTAAAAAAAGAATAAACAAAATTGGTGTTTGCTCAAGAAAAAAAAAAAGCATTCGACTTACTTTGGATTGGCGTACTCAAGAAGAAGAAAAAAATGCAGGATTCTTGTAATGCACACACACTTTGATGAAATTGGGTGATGCTATTGATCTTTTATAAAGAGAATTCTCAATTCTACTTAATTAAGGAATTCCCAACTCTATTTAATTAAGGAATTCCCAAAACCCAATTGAATAAAGAGAATTTTTAATTAAAACCCAATTAAGTAAGGAAATAGAAACCCTTTTTCAAAAGCCCACAAAAAGCCCACGTCAGTTTCCCTTTTTTTCTTTTTCTTTTTTAATTTCAAAACCCTGGTCCAAAACGACGTCGTTTTGGCCAGGTTTTTCAAAAAACAAAAAAAGGCAGCGCATATTAAACAGTCTGGTCCAAAACGACGTCGTTTTGGCCAGGCTTCGTTAAAAAAAAACAGGAGCCCTCGCACGCGCGCTGCAGACTGGGTGCAGCACCAGCAGGCAGCAGCTCCCCAGCCCAGTGGTTTGCGCATTTCATCGAGCACATTGTGTGCATCGCTGGTCTGAAGCAGAGGTGCAACTCCAGCGTCTGTAATGGCTATTTCCGGCGACCGGAGGTGCAGGCGCACCTCCTTGCGCCTGCACAGATCCGCCACTGTCCATAACCATAGATATTTGAAGGGAACTGACCTCATTCTTAGCCAAAAGAGAGAAAGGTATAAGGTGCGTCTTTTTATTTCCTTATTTGTTTTTGTTTCTTCATATATTTCCTATTTTATGTTCTTATTTTTGTTATGCGTAGCTTTATTTGAACCTAATTAATAAATATTTCAGAATTAAATTTTTTTCCTTTAGAAATTTGTCCCTTCGATTAAAGAAATTTTAAAAAGTTACAGAAATTAAAACACTACTAAACAAAAAATTAAAAGAAAACTGTTGCCCAACTATTCTTTTTTGTTTCGAGATTTGAGAGTCGTGCATTTTGTTTCACTTATCTTCATTACACTTTCACTTTACAGTTGTTTCCAGAAGAAGCTTAATAAAAAAACGAAAAAGAAGTGTTGCATACTAATACTCTGTGTTCTTCTATTTAAGCTTAGTCTCACAAACTCAGGTATGCCCTGTAGTTTCCTTCTTTCATTTCAATTGGTTTAATATTTTTTCTTTTACTCTTCTTCATTTTCTTGTTTTTGGGTTCGTTTATTCAACAGATACAAGAGTCTAATTGCAAAAAGCAAAACAAAAGAACCATGGAGATCCTCACTGGAACTATTCCTAAAATAAAGATGAGATTGCTACTCGATTAGATTTATTGAACATGGGGGTCAAAACTGATTTGCAACCCGAGTATCAGAGAAAGACGTACTCGTTTGCCTCCCGGGCCTTGGAATTTTTCAAGAGCAGAGAAGAAAGCGGTTTGCAATTCTTTTTATGGTATGAAGGTCCTTGAAGGTTATTCTTCAAATATAAAAAATCTTGTATCTTTACAAGATTCAAGACTTCTTGGCCTTAAATCACATGATTGTCATACCCTAATGCAACAATTGCTCCCTGTGGCAATTCGTTCTGTTTTGGAGAAGCCTGAAAGGTATTCAATAACTCGTTTGTGCTTCTTCTTCAATGCTATATGTGCAAAGACGGTTGATGTTTCCAAGCTAGATAAGTTGGAAGAAGATGTAGTAGTTACTTTATGTTTGCTTGAGAAGTACTTTCCCCCTTCATTCTTTGATATCATGGTTCATCTAGTAGTACATCTTGTCAAAGAAGTTCGTCTATGTGGGCCAGTATATTTTAGATGGATGTATCTGTTTGAAAGATATATGAAAGTGCTAAGGAGGTATGTTCAGAATCGTACTCGTCCCAAAGGTTGCATTGTTGAGCGGTATATAGCTGAAGAAGCTGTAGAGTTTTGTACCGAGCATTTATCTGATGTTAATACAGTTGGAGTGCCTTCAAGCCAAAAGATGGGAGTTTCAAAGTCATTATCAGGTTGCATAGTGAGCTTAGTTGATCAGGACCTGTTGAACCAAGCACATCTATATGTCTTGGAGAATACGGAGGAAGTCCTACCTTATATCGAGTACGTATGAGTTTTATGCTTTAAGTTTCTATTTTAAATTATTTCTTATGTTTATCTTATATGTTTGGGACCATAATGCTTGATTTTTCGTGTCATGTAGGCAACATATGATTCACATCAAGACCGCTTATCCAAAATTTAGAAAGAGAACAAAGTGGCTGCAAGATAAGCAAAATAGCACTTTCATTCAATGGCTACGCTTCAAGGTATATGTTATTGAATAACATATTGGACTTTTAATTTTCTTCTTTCTATGTTAGACTAAATTATGATATGATTAATTTGCAGGTTCAAAGTGAACTTAATGAGGAAGACAATCATAGCGTATCAGAAAATTTAAGGTGGCTAGCAGCTGGTCCAAACATGGCAGTGCCATCATATAGGAGCTATCTTATTAAAGGTATTAAATTTAACATCAAGGCACAAGATGATGTGCGGACAACTCAAAATTGTGGAGTTTATTTACTTGCACATACCATGCAAGTTGCTAGTGCCAAGGATAAAAACCCAATTCTCTCAAATATGGGTTTCTATGGTGTCATTCAAGAAATTTGGGACCTTGACTACCAAAAGTTTACAATCCCAGTCTTTAGGTGTGATTGGATAGATAGTACTTCTGGTCTTGTAGTCGATGAACTTGGATTTACCCTTGTAGATTTGAGTAAAATTGAACATAGGAATGACCAATTTGTTTTGGCTTCTCAAGTCAAATAAGTATTTTTTGTTGACGACCCGATGCATCGTGGTTGGTTGGTAGTGTTATCAATGCCTAATAGAGAATATATTGATGTTATTGGTGATGATGTCTTAGGTGATGTGAGAATTGAGTGTGAGCCATTTACTAGAGGGATGCCAAATTTTGACACATTTGATGAACTGGTGGGTGAGTTTGGGAGTCAAAATATTCAAGATGGGTGTGAAGATATATGGATTGAATGATACTTATGTAATTTATGAAATTACTTATGGCAGTGTATGACATTAATTTTGTAATATATTGTAATGTGATTTCTTCACTTTCATTATTCAGGTTTTGGCCACAAAACAATCAGTACAAAAAATACTGGTTCAAGATTACAAACACGACGGTCTTGATAAAAATGTGAAAAACATACGTCTGTTTTAATAAAATTGTCATAAAAAAACGACGTTTTGGAGCATTCAACGACTGTAATATATTTACCGACGTCTTAAAGCCACGTAACAATGAAGAACCACGATGCTATTGTGAAACAGTTATTAGGGATATCACATCAGAGAAGCATAAAGAGCCGACATGTAATTCCAAATAACACGACTCCAATCCCAAAATACTGACGTCTAAAAGAC